AGATGTTTTATTGCACAGTGTGAGACTGTTTAATTTGTCAAACTAATAAACAGCGTACACATTCATTTCCCGCTAGTTTTGTAGTAACCATGCTCGAGTAGGGTTACTTTCCTGTCATTATTTGAGGGCTTTTTCTTCCTAGAACACAAAAATTCTGCTGTAACGTTTCTTACATCTCTTGTCCCTGCTTTTATGTGACATTCCTTTAAATTTAGAACTGCAGGTTGTGTTTTAAAGATTATTATCCTGGGTAATACTTTTCAGGTAAAGCAGTTACAATCTCTTATATAAATAAAACTCACTAGCCCCTAAGAAGAGCGAATAATATTGTGAGTTGAACTTGTTTTTGTTTGTGTGTTTACAGGGTGGGAAGTAAGTGACCAGCAAAGTGTTTCAGTAGCTATTTGACCTCATGCATAAGCACTTGGTTGATAGTTTAAGTGATACTTTATGAAGGTCTTCGGTGTTTCATTTATTCCCTCAGGAAAGAAAAACTAAACCCATAGGTGAGGAAGGAAGTTTCTGGTTTTTAACCCTTGCAAGCAAGTTTTTAATTCTTAAAAGCAGCGAGACCCCACTGTTCACTGAACATTTATACCCCTCTTGTATATCTCAGGAGTAATGTTTCTATTTGCAGTACTTGCAGAGCTGTTGGTTTCCATCGTGATGGGTCAGTCATGAACCTCTAAGAATTCAAAATATTTTCTGAGGCTTAATATAGAAAATAGGGATAATTTACATGTTTATTTCCCGCATTTCATAAGTAGCAGCCCTGTATAGAAATGTGAAGAATAATATTCAACTTTTTCTGCCCAAAAGTTTTCCTTACTGCTGAGAACAATTTGAGGATAACTTCAGAGAGGGGGGCCGTTTTTGTAGGATTTGTCACAGCCCTTGATTCAAATGGGGTATAGAACATTCACAAGATGTAATTTTTCAGCTGGTCCTGAAATGAGCCATAGGCTTTTGATTTTTGTTTTTTTTAGGGATTTTTTTGTATAGGACACTGAAAAATCTGTTTTCTGTGAGCTAGTTCCATCACATGCTGTATCAAAGTCCTGTTCCACTTTAAAGTGGTAACCAAACTACCAGTTGCTGATGTTACCATCTCTTGCTGATAACTGGAAGAAAAGTTCCAAATCTATATGTTCTTCCTATTAATGGTTTTAGGGAAAACTTCATGAGCAGTCACAGAATACCCCCAGGTGGTTGTATCAACATATCAGTGGTATATTCGAAGTGTTACGGGATGTGCAGAAGTAAGACTTCAGTTGTGAACCAGGAGCAGGATTCCCTTCTCTTGGGCTTCCTTTCAGCTCAGCTCTGTTGTAGAGGAGCACAGTCTGCTAGTAGAGTCTACAGAGTGGATTTTTCTTGCTATCATTTTATTTCTAGTAGCTCAGTAGCACTAAGCAGAGGTGCTGTTTCTGTGGGCTTTTCATCAGTTACTCTACTGCTTATCATACTTTGTTCATTTAAATGTGGAGTCTGCCTCTTCTTTCACGTTGTCTGTGTGAGTATGAAAACATATTTACTATCTTTCCACTAAATAGTATGTGGGGGAGTTTTATGGACCTAAATCAGTGGCTGTAAATGTCCCTGTCTTCCATACCTGTCTAGGATACAATAAAAACCTGTTTACCTTCACAAAGAGGATTTTTTTGTACACTCATTACTGGCAGATATGTGCTGCTTTTATTCTTTAGGTAGTTCTACAAGATGTCTGAATTTCAAATACAGTTTGTTATTCTTTGTGTTGTCAGCAGCATTCGGGAGTGTAATATCAGGAGATATATTTATAGACATACATATATGGTTTGGGTTTTATTTCCTATGTGCTTATTAATTGGTATTTAAGTGCTTCAAACTTGCAGAGGGGAACAAACAGTATTGCCTGTATGCAAAAAGCCACAACTTTTGCTGCCCTGTCCCATTAAGCAAGACAACAGCCTAGAAAAGTATAGTAAGTGCTGCTTCTTTGTTGGGTTTTATCATTTTTAAAAGTTTGACTAATATATCTTCTAGAATGTTAAGAAAAGGATTGAAATACTGTGCAGTAGCATGCTAAAAGCCATGTGTTTTCTTTAGGTGTGCTTCTGTTGGTTTTCATTTTGTGAAGTAGAATAGGAAATACTGTGTTATGTTATATATAATGTCTAAATTGAGCTAGAAAGGGGAAAACTGGGGGCACCAATAGGCTGGCCATGGGTGGTGGGTGATTAGCATCAGCTGAGGAGAGTTCTGTGTTTCCAGAAGGGTAAGCTTTATGTTCCTGATGTGTTGAATTTATTTCTTCCCTTATTTATATAGTATTCAAGCAGTGTACACTGAAGATGTTTGTATGGTTTTAAGTCATCTTTAACTGCACTCAAGGAGGTAACGTTAGTGCAACCTACCTCAAGACCTGAAAGCAATCCTCAAACCTTACTTTTTAGTGTATTGTTCCCAATTTGTCGAGATTTGTATTCCCATAGTTTAAATGCAGTTCCAGAGATTTGGGTCTCTGTGTTGCCCTTGTTACAGGAACCTTTTATTATGTATTACTCAAGTTTCAGAGTGTTAGCTGCTTGTGAAAGGTATTAATGCCTTCTGACTATGGTAATACTAAACATCAAGGCAGTGTTTATCGTATGGAGTTAGAGCATTACTGGACCAGTCGGACTTTCCATCCCATTTGAATCTGGTAATCAGGTGATCCAGAATTACACTGCTGATTTTTATGAAGAGGCAACCTGGTTTATAGCAAAAGTTTGTGATGCAGTGTTCTCGCAACTGTCTTGATGAAGACATAGTGGTATTGGAAATCCACCTAGGACTTCTTCTAGTGGTTAGCATCATTTAGTTAGCTGAACAGATTTGTAAGGAATGGCTTTTTCTGCCTTTTTTTATTGTCAGACCAAGACGAATTTTTTAGCTTGCTTTTCAGAGGCTTGCATTTCCAAAGTACATAGTAATATTTTGCAGAAGAGGCTGAGATTTTGGGTTTCTGTGGCGTTAACTGTATTTCCTGTCTGACATTGCAGTAGAATTAATGTTAATAGGACTTCACTGTACTTAGTTTCATGTCAGTGCTACCGTACAGGAGCTTATATTAGTATATTAAGGTGTGGTGTTAACTAACAGTGTTCTACAACATACAAAGAAAACAAATGCTAGTAATAAATTCACAGAAGTCCTGACACTTCATGTAGGAATTCCTACTGGTACTTGTGTTTTTTCCCTCTGATTTTAGTAGTATCCTCACAGGTTAATGTTTCCATTTTAAACTATTAGTGATTTACAATTTGATCTTGGTGAATGATTAACAAAAAAGGAGTTAAGGTTTCAGAACAAATGTGTAGATAAATATTTAACTGCTAAGATTTCAGAATAGAGAATTGAGAAGTCAATGAGATGGACAATTTGTTCTGTAATGGGTCTTAGCAGAATTCTGTAGGTTTGAATTTCTTTACTGAAATGCTTCATAACAACACAGGCTGAAAATGCAGCTCGTGTTAGTGACTCCTATTAATTCAAATGTATTTAGTAAGAAAGTAATGAGTACACGAAAGCTTCTAATGGCTGTTTGTAATATTCAGGTGATGTGATATGTGATATGTGAAACTCACTCTGGATCTTGTGTAGCGTTTAAGTCCTGACTGAGAAGATGCAGAACTGTTTCACAGCTGTTAAAAGAGTTACAGCATAGACAAAACCCTGTTGATATCATTGTGTAGTGTTCACGTAGGGTCCATTTGAACTTTGCTGAAGCAAGATGAAAGTCCAGTTGTCAAACACAGAAATGGCTTTTCAGAAATGGGGAAGGGATGTGTGTAAAGGGAAAGTGTGCACTTAAGTGTCTGCACTCAAGAAATTGGCTTATGCATAAGGCTAGGAAATGCTGGTTTACATTTGTGTTCACTGAAGTGTATTCACAGCTCAGACTGACTTTTGTTTACTGTGTTGTGACATTCAGAGTAAAATGAATAAAATGTATATTGTTTCAACAGCTGAATCACTAAAGTTCTGCTCGTGTTACTGGTTGCATTTGAATCCTTGATATCTTGACAGGTTTACTTGTAAAGATGATGAATGTCCCTGTGCTGTGACTTCTGAGCTCTGGTGCCATGACAAGCCTTTCTCTTAACTGATCACTTTGCTTACAGTTTGATTACAAATTACTCACTTAAAAGTAGTTCAGTTTTGCATTCATGACTCTTCTCAGCCATCCCTGTGACCTGGTTTTACTTCTTGTGAGTGTAAAATGTAGCAGAGTATCTAGAAGTAGTTCTCAAACTCTGCTATTGGATTTCTGGCTATCTGGGTAAACGTAGGACTCTGTAAGCTAGATGAGTGTTTTAAAGCTTGAATTATTTCTCAGGTTTTATAGAGAAAACAAATCGGGAAATATGGGTGATGTTAAACTAGCACTGCCAAAATTTTGGGGAGCTTTACACAGGTGGTAGCTGTGGGGATAGACTCTGTGCAGAGCATTCCTATGGCACAGTGCTGCATGAATTGCCTGTTGGCAAGTGGGCTGCTTTCCCAAATGCTCAGGAAAACAGAAAGATGGAGTTGGAAGGCAGCACAGTTCTGTCTGGTACCTATTACAGGACTAATAGGAGTTCGATGTGGGTTTGTACCCAAATTCTGAAGTAGTCTGGACTAGATGCTCCGTGGGAAGTGAAACTTAAAACGTCTTTTCCCAGTTGTTTGCTTGTTCTTGAGCAATGTTCTTCGTGCTGCTGATATTTCTCTATTGGCACTAGATGTCCGTGTCCACTGTTACGTCTGAATCAAGCTTCATGTTCCCACTTGTGTGGCCAACTTCAGAAACCACATGAATGCTGCATTAAAACTGTGTCATGAAATAATGTGTTAATAGTATCTTTAAGATACGTGGGATATTTAAAGGGAAATGTTTCATAGTCGTTTAAGAGTTTAAAATCGTAATGACATGTGAAAAGATGAAAACTTGTGGTTTAAAATGTTGTTTTATTTGTTTCCCTGTGTAGCTATGTAGGAAACCTCTCCAGAGATGTGACTGAAGTTCTTATACTTCAGTTATTCAGCCAGATTGGACCATGCAAAAGCTGTAAAATGATAACAGAGGTAAGGCCACTTCCAGGGGGGTAGCAAATATAATGTAACGTATCATAAGTTGTGCAACATAAATGGAGTTGAGGGCTGCTTTTGCCATTCCTGGTAGTGGGGTTTTAGGTTGGTTGTGCTTGGCTTTGGGGATTACTTTTTGCAGAAGAGACCTGCTGTTGTGTAGAGTCCTGTATTTTTGCTGTAGCCCTGACATACCCTTCGCCAGCTGATGATGAGATTCCACTTTAGAAGGTTGTTACCCCTTCTTTTCAGAACCCCGTTCTGGTGATCAGAAACCTTATTGTTTCAAGTGTTACTCATGGCTGTTTGGTACATTTTTTACCTTATTTGAACATGAGCCTCAGTAATTCTTTTTCATCTTGACTAAATGCTGCTTCACTATGGATGAAAAGTCCAAAATCCTTCCAAACAAGCTGTGTGCTTCCCGAGTCACTTGTGTGCCAGTGCAAATAGCTCTTGTCTGCATCACTCTGTTCTTAAATGAGTTTTTTCTTGAAACAAAGTGACAAAATTCCCATAGTATCCCAGACGAGGTCTTTTGAACAAAGTATTGGTAAGTGTTAATATTGCCTTCTCACCATTGCAAATGCTCTGATACCTTTAGGGTTGGCACCATTTCTGTGATGTTGTTGACACGTCCTAAGCAACTTCTTTATCCCTAATATTTTTCCTTGCTTGTGCATTTATAACTGATAAACTTCAGGCAGGGACTAATCAGAATTTTGGCTGGGTTCAATCTTTGGTTCTTCAGCTCTGGTTTTCTCGATGCTCTTCCTACTTTTACTACTACTTATGCTTCTTACTAACCTGTAATTACGGATTTCCTGAGTACAGTCACATTACTTTTTTTGGCCAGGATTGTTAATGAAGGTATTAAAAGGCAAGTCTTGCAAGCAGACTTCTTCAGGAACACTACTAGTAACTCCTCTGTGGCCTTCTTTTCCTCTCAGTATGACACACTACTTCTTAGGAGTATTTTTAATGGCTTCTTATCCATCTGATGCTTGTTTAATCACTCTCTTCTTCATCTGCACTCATAATTCCTCATTCATTAAAACCTTCTAATGAAGATAAGAGCTCTGCCACATATTCTACAGGTTTATTGGAGAAAGGTGGCTAAACAGAAGGATAGCAGAGCACAGCTGTTAGTTTTTCTCTGAAGAAACAGTTCTGATTGTCATAGGCTCATCAGAAATAAGGTACTGTTGCTCCAGCCTTTGGCTAATTGAGAGACGTTAGCATCAGTTTGATTTCTTGACAAGATGATGAGAAGTTCCAACACTCCTTTTACTTGGTTTTGGCTTTGTGGGTTTAGGGTTTTACATAACCACATAGGAATAACAAGTGAGGAATCTTTCTGACCTAAGGAGCTAAACAAAAAGCTCCTCACAGCTACATCCAGTCATCCAGAGGTGAGCGCACTGGGCTGTCCTTAGCCCCTGTCACTGAGCAGTCTGCAAGTGCAGGTTGGATTCTAGACTGCAGCTGGCCTGCAGCTCCAGCACTTCCAACTGTCAGAGCACCTGTCCATACTGTCCATCCTCCTACTCAGTGTTGTCACCTCTTCATAGGCACTGAGTTGTGTTTAGGTGGTTCTTACCTCTCTGTTCTTACTGCCACCATCAGTCAAGTTTATACCGGAATGCTTTGAAAACTTGTGTGGTTTTTCTTTTTCCTTCCTCTCTTTAGCCAGATGTATCAACTGTTTTATCACCCTGTCTTTAATTTGTACAAGGTATGACATGAACATGTCAAGTGTTTAGAGATTTGAAGTGGTTGTTTTGGGGGTATGTAACACTCAGGGGGTGGCGTGAGTAGCATTTACAGGTATCTCAAACTCCTCAAGGTCTGGGCATGTGTGAAAGCGGATCTTCTTATGTTCAGACAAGTTCTTGGTGCAAGAGGAGACCTCTCCACAGTCCAAAAGTAAATTGTACTTCAGCTGAAGCATAGACTGCACTAATCTGCTGAGTCCTTACCTTGTTTTCATTGTAGCAGGAACTAAGTATGGGAAGAGGAGTGAATTAAGGCTCACCGTTTTGGGGCATCTGGGGTGAATGTGCTCTTAGAGCACTTTACTGCAGTTGGACTTAAACTCTTTGTGTTTTTTTATGATCTCAGGTGTATTTTCTTTGTCTGTTCATTTGCATCAGTTAAAGACACCGATTACTGACTGTTTAGAAGGATGTCTTCACACTGCTTGATCATTTTAGGTATAAAAAGGCCTTGTGATCAGTTCAGCTATGACATCTTAATAGCTTCCCTTGTTCAGGCGTAGACAGAACTGTGTTAGAAGATGTACAATCCAGTTTAACAGGGCAGAATTAGAATTTCTTTGTCCATATAAGCATGCATGAATTTCCAGAAGTTAGTTAATAGAACTGGCAAAGGCCTGCTCTTAACTGGAGTTAGAGCCATGCTCTACCTGACACTGGGGGATGTTGATAGGCAAGAATACTGGTGCCAAAGCAGTTTCTTTACATGCTAGACCCTTCCCCGTCCATGCAAGAAATATTGGTTTAGTTCAGTATTAGTGTTTATCATCTCCTGGTCTGTGTACATGCAGAGTACTTAGTGTAGACATTTTGGTGTAAGGCTCTAGGTTTTGTACTCATTACATCCTTTAGGCATATTAAATCCAATGACATTATAATCATCATTTCCACTTGATCAACTTTTCTATGTTCTTTGCACTTCATAGTTTGGTACATTTAATACTTCAGTGAGTTTTGTTTGTCTGTTAGTATTTTTAAAGGTGTTTGTTAGGCCATCTTACAAAACCAGGTTATACCCAAGACTTAAGAGTAACAACTAATATCTTTTTTTTCCCCCCAGTCAGACTGTTTTGAGTTCTTTTAAAGGGCTATTTCCCAGTTGCTGGCTATAACATTTTTCACTTGAGACTGGGAAGACGTGACTTCTAGGTTGCCAACTGCCTGTGATTTTTACTCAAATAAAAGGAAAGACTTCTTAAGTAGGAGGAGGGAGAAAATTGGCGATAATGTGTCTGGGGAACAAACCTTTTAAGCTTTGAGTGTATATATATGAGTCAGAAGACCATTTTTGTTCTTCTCTCCATTCTTCCCCTTCCCCTCCCCTTCCATCCAGTCTGCAGATCACTTTTTCTGGTAGCTGAATTATTTTCAGTGTAGTAAACCAGAAATACTGAGGCCTCACACAAAGTAAACTATACTTCAGACATTACTAGACCTTTAATAAAAGTCCGTCTTAATAATTCTTGCATTTAAGTGTAATGTCAGGCTATTTCATAAATCTGATGCAAATCACTCTTAAAGTTTCTAGCTATAAGTAATATATTTTCCTGGATTTTCTTCTCAGCAACCCGATAGCAGAAGGGTCAACTCTTCTGTTGGATTTTCTGTTTTGCAGCATACAAGCAATGACCCTTATTGCTTTGTGGAATTTTATGAACACAGAGATGCAGCTGCTGCATTAGCTGCTATGAATGGGAGAAAAATTTTGGGGAAGGTAAGTTGCTTACATTGGAATCTTAGATTTAAGGACTCTTAAATCTTAGATTTAAGGTTTGTGTAAAAACTAGTAATGAAACTGTGGGATGTTAATTTTCTTGAAGATGTTTATCATAATATTCTAGAGTAAGACTTTTAAAACACTGAATGGGAAAGTCCTGTTTAGGAACCATACTGTTTATGATGTTCTAACTATGACAGTGTTTTATTTTGACTTGTAGACATTGACAGTTGTAACCCAGCCTTTAATGAACTTACAAAATATAAGAATTTTGTGAATTTATGCTAAATCTTATGCTTATTTTCAGGAGGTCAAAGTAAACTGGGCAACAACACCAAGTAGCCAGAAAAAAGATACATCCAGTAAGTAAAGTAACGCCACAGTATCACTTCTACCCAAATCCTTCACAACGTGGTAATAATTTGCCATAAATGCATTTCAACGTAACTTTTCTCCTTCCCATCTTGTGTTTAATAGAAGTTTGCAAACTAATTCTTCTGTTTCTGCTTTACAACTGGGGAAACTGGAGTGGACAGATTAAATTGCTGCTGCTCATCCACTGGAATCCTGGTTCCCTGCGCGGTGTGCAGAGCATCACTTTCTCAGGAGTTGACATTGTAGCTAGCAGTTAAATATTTGATTAGTAAATTATTTATTTTCAGATCACTTCCATGTGTTCGTTGGGGATTTAAGTCCAGAAATAACAACAGAAGACATCAAGTCAGCATTTGCCCCCTTTGGTAAAATATCGTAAGTATCATCATAAACATTTCCAATATCGGTTAGAAAATGACAGTGAAAATATGTTTGAGTTTGAAACATTAGTTCTTGTCTCTTTAGATGATTTTTCTGCTGTTGATTTCCTTATGTTGGGTGGGCAGTAAAGAGGGGTTATTGTTTCATCTGAATCTCTCTCATGATTGCAAATACAGTAATGTAATTGTGCTCTGGTTTTGCTGAAAGCAATGTGCTTTTAACCTAATTTATATGCTAATGTCCTTCAGCTTCTTATTAAAACTTAATTACTGTTCCTAAGTGTGACTTTTTGTTGTTTAGAATGTGTAGAAAGTAGTGACTTGATAACTGATATATGTTGCATCCTTGGTGTATCGTGTATGCATTCATACTGCATTTCATAGGCAGTAGAGAACACTGGGTAATTAGCATATAACTTTATGAAGCAGCTATTGAATAACTTGTGTTGAATGTGTTGAAAAAAGCTAATATTTAATGAGAATGAAATCTGCTTTGGGGGGGTGATAACAGGGGGTGAATTAAGATTATAGTATTAAATGAAAAAATGGTGGATTTACACTGTGGGCACATTTCTGCCAGTGAAGAGAAGGTTACTTTAAACTTCTCATAGATAATTCAGGTGATCCTAAATCACCTGGTGTTTTAATGGAACACAGTAAACATGACAAGCATCCTTGTGAATGCTAAAGTGTGTATGTCCTTAAGAGTACATGAAGTTGCACATGAAGGTTTGCAGGAATATAGTTCTAAGAGCAAAATGCTGAGTTTTCTCTTGTTCTGTACATTTTGAAATGAAATCATAAATCTTATTTCTTACCTCTTGCTATTTTGTTTACTTTGCTTTTTGTCTCTTAATGTGGTAAGTAAGTACTGTTTTAAAAATGGGGTTTTAAGAGAATAATTCAGGTTTCTGTTTTCTCACTCTATATTTATACCTGAGACCTGCAGTTTTTCTAAAGTCCAAGTCACAATTAAAAGTAATAGCATTCTGGTTATTTTGCAGAATTGCTCATAAGAATGGACAGGATCTTGAAGGCTAACTGCAAGGAACTGTGCACACTGGAACTCAGTTGTAGATTTTTTCTCATTTCTATTTATTCTTATTATACATTATTTATATATACATATTTTAGTATTTACATTTTAACATTCTATATTCAGTGCAGTTCTATATTTCCAATCATTTTAACTTACTCACTAAAATTTCTGTGTAAATTTGTTGTTTTCGTACTGGTGTGCTTAGCATTGTTGTTAGTTTTATTCTCCTTTTCTTAAATATCTGAAAATGTCAATTTTTCAAAATTTACAGCTCCCCAAACTCCAAAATGATGCTAGAGAATTGACCAAGAAAAATAAAGAAATCTGTTAACAGGCCATGTATGCCTTTTAATTCCTATTTTTTCCTCTTTTTCCATTTTTTTAATATTTCATATATTTGGTATCAGTAGGCAGAAGACATTTAACTATTTAGAGAATGCATGGTAACTTAGCTAGAATTGTTACAGTAATTTCTAGAACAGTAAACCTTAGAGGACCCTAGCCACTAGAATATTAGAAAAGGAAACGTTGTCTCTCTTTATACTGCCCAATTTGAGCATTCTAGTTGTAGCCAGCATAGGTTATGTGGATAGGTTGCATGTTTTATTACATGTTATTTTTTTTTTTTGTCCTACTGCTTTTTTCTAACAGGTAAAGAAGCAATAGGGAGAGTTCAGGAATGACTTGTAGTTGTAGGGCTAACTGAATTGATAAGAGAAAATTATGCTCACGATACAGTGTGTGTGGTTCCTTTTAGTTTTTATTTTGCAGGTTATTAATATTGCCCTCATATAGCTGTGCTTCTCTTCACAGGGATGCACGGGTAGTTAAAGATATGGCAACTGGAAAGTCAAAAGGCTATGGTTTTGTATCTTTTTATAACAAACTGGTGAGTAAGCACGATGTCCATTGAAAATCATTCCCTGTTTTCCACTTGTTGCTTTGCGTCTTTGTTTATATGTTCACTGTGTAGCAGGCTTTCCCAAGGGAAATAAATTTGCATGTACGGGACAAATGTACTTTAGTCAAAATATCTCAATATCTGTGGTTAAGGGTTGAAACAATTTGGATGACAGCAATGCCGTGAGAACGTTGTGTAAGAAGATCCCTCGACATAGAAAGCTTGTTTTCGTGTGTTGGGGTAGTTCGGCTCAGTCTGTGGAACCATCTCTCCTACAGCGAGCTGTGTGCCTGGTCTGATCAGCAGTGCTTTTGGGTCTCTTAGCTGAGGCACCACGCCAGCTCCCTGTGTTAAGGTAGGAGCCCCCCTGCAAAATGCTGCCCTGGAGCCCTCGGCAGCGCAGTGCCACACTGCATGGCAGGGTTTGGTCGTTTGAGGGTGCCCAGAGAAGCTGTGGCTGCCCCATCCCTGGCAGTGTTCAAGGCCAGGTTGGACACAGGGGCTTGGAGCAACCCGCTCTAGTGGAAGGTGTCCCTGCCCGTGGCAGGGGTTGGAACTGGGTGAGCTTTAAGGTCCCTTCCAACACAAACCAGTCTGGGATTTGCCAGGTTTAGCTTTGTACCAAAGCTCAGTCTTTCTGGAGACCTAATGCAACCAAGTGTGTCATACTCTGAAGTACAGCCAGATTTACTTGCTTGAGCTCTGGATCTTCATAAAGCTGTTGCTTGGTCCTTTGCTTTAGTTGTTATTTTGAACTCTAAGATGGTTCTTTGTATTGAGTAATTGTCAGCTAAGAGTTGACTCTGTACTTCTAAAGCATTTTGCTTATGTGTACTGTAAAACTGAAGATTGTTCTTCTGAAGGTTTTGTGTTGGATGGTCTTACATGATGGATGATGTTATGCATGGAAAAAACGCTTTCAATAAGGGACTAGTATCCCTTTGACACAGATGTTAAAGGTGTTATTTGTAGAGTTTAATCAGTGTAGTAGTGCTAAAAGCAGTGCTGTGCCCTATTATCTATAGCAGTACAATTGACTCAACAAATAATCCGTAGTAATTTGGAAGTTAAATGTCAAACAGCATGAGAGATCTGTGAAGATTGATGGAATTGAGCCATGTGTATTTAGAGGTACATTAGGGCAACGTGTGGAAGCTGTAAACTGTTTTCCTTAAATATTTAGCTTAGGAAAACCACACATACTTAAGGATTTGGGGCATATAAGCCTGTTAGTATAGTCAGAAGTCCTGTGTGTTAAAGACTTCTTCTGTCACAGTTATCTGGAGATGAATCTTAATCAGAGAAAAAGTTGGAATTTCTCATCTTCAGATTAGCAAACACCAGAAGCCATTATGACTGAATGCCTTGATTTAGTGCATTTTTCCACTTAGACTTGGCTTATTTTGTGTTGCAGCTGGAATAGACAAGAGGAATATTGTCTTATTTCTTATTCCTCTTCCCTTATTGTATGGTTGTGTTTGGTTTCTGTGACTAGGGAAAATGTTGTGATGGTCATATGGAATGCACCTTACTGGATTCTTTTAAGGCTGAGCCATAAGACCTCCAAATTAAAATCTGTATTCACTCTTCAAAATTAATCACAGAATCACAGAATGGTTTGGGTTGGAAAGGACCTGAAGCTCATCCAGTTCCAGCTCCCTGCCATGAGCAGGGACACCTCACACTAGACCACGTCACCCAAGGCTCTGTCCAACCTGGCCTTGAACACTGCCAGGGATGGGGCATTTACCACTTCTCTGGGCACCCTGTGCCAGAGCCTCGGCACCTTCACAGGACAGAACTTCTTCCTTATATCTAACCTGAGTAGCTAAATTCTAAATGTCATACTAAAAAGTACTTGTAAAACTTGTCCTGATTGTTTTTCACTCAGACCTCAGCCGCAGCTCCGCGGTTGTGGCACCACCATCCTGAGCTGGCAGCTGAAGGCCTATTTTTCAGGCTTCGTTGTTGTCCCGCTAGGTTTGGGGAAGTGGGATGTGTTCCCAGGTTGCAGGTCTCTAGCCTGAGGTCCTGATGCACACCACACTTGGGAGAAAATTAAATTCCTACAGTGAACTGGAACAGTTACAGCATGGGCTCGTTCCATCTGTGTCACTGCTGTGATCCTCAAGCCTGGCAGCAAGGTTCATTAGAGGTAGTTGCCTTTCTTAGTCAGTTTGTAACTTACTAATGTTTTGGGAGCGAGGGTGCTTGAGTGAGGTTTTGTTTTGTTTTATTGTCTGGTGGCTTGTTTAAGTGTTTTCTTATCAGATATCTCATAATTTCTTTATTGTGTTTATGTATTATCTTAAAAATGATCATCCTGTGTAATTAATACTTAGGAGGATCAAGGTCCTGAATGATTTAAGAGCTGAATGCTATAGCTGGAAGCCTTCAGTGTGAGGCAGGACTGTGCTAGCTGCAAATTCATATCTTGTCCCTATGTTCTCTTTGTCTCATGTACTTGGTATTCTCCTGCTTAAGCTTTGTGCCCTTGGGAGAGCATTTCAAACATCTGTACCGTTTGCTCTGCCTCTGCTTTCAAAGCAAATGGAGAAAAAAATTGCCACTTGCAAGTGTTAGCAAAGTTACCCCATGCTTACTAGATGTTACTGCTTACAATGTGAACTTAAAAGATTGTCTTCTAATTCATGCTTGAGACAGAAGTTAAGCCACATGGGCCCTGGACTCGCTTTTATGGGTGTTCATGCAATGACTTTACTATTCAGAGAATTGACAAAGCAGCCTGTGCTCACTCAAGCCTTGCGGGCCTCCAGAGGGCAGAAGAGAGGATGGGACGGGGGTGTGTGTGTGTGCAAATAATAAATAAAAGCCATGTGCTCAATCTATTTGTGTCTCAGCATTACAGTTTCTTAGTAACTGCCATTCAGCCCTCCTAGAACCTGGGATTTTTGGCCTGGTTATGTTGGGTGCCTATTAAGACTCTGCAAAACCACATTCATGTCGTGCTGTACACTGTCTTTTGCAGACACATACTGCAGGGTGTAAATGTTACTTGGGCTACAGCTCAGAAATTTTCCAGTGAGTGAGGGATTTTGATGGTTTTAAAAGTCTTCCCTGACTTTTCATCATTAAATATACTTCTGTGGATTGTACTTTGAACAAAGTCATTGGCAAACAGTTTGATTTTTTTCAATAGTTAAAATGATAGTAGTTTTATTTCAGTAACCACTTCTGGCATGTGTATGACCTTTGCACTTTTGGGGGGCAGCCTTCAGATATTCTAATACAGATGCTGGTTGTCTAAAATCAGTGTATGTATGACTATAGCTGGCTTCTAACCAGTGTGCAAAAATTGGGCTGGGAGGAAGGTTGAGGACCTTCTCTGTGACTGATGGGCCTCAAGTTACTTCAGTTTTGGCTGCTTGCTGTGGCTGCTCAGAATTTCATGTACTTTTTAGTACTGTTACTGTTGTCAACTGAATTAACTGTCAACCAAGTCTTTCTTGGAAGCAGACTTGTATGTACTTCTTGTTTGGATGTGTTACAATCTCTATTTTGATCTCTTTAGGATGCAGAAAATGCTATTGTACACATGGGAGGCCAGTGGTTGGGAGGCCGTCAGATCAGAACTAACTGGGCAACGCGGAAACCACCAGCCCCCAAAAATACACAAGAAAGTAAGACCTTCACATAATGCTTTGTTGTGTTTGCTCTCTTGCATGGCACTGTTCAGTGGAGGAATGAAACATACTGCTGCCAAAATCACGTCAATTATGTATCTAGTTTGACTTCCAGCTCTTAAATGATAGATTTCTTGTATATTAGAGTAATAGCACTGCTGGTCTATCATAAACTACTGAATGTGTGTGTGTTAAATGTGTAATTCATCCTTGTGTATAAGGTAAGTATCTGGGACTCTCTGGTTACTGATAGCCTACTGCTTAAAACCAGTCTTCTCTCTTTATAGATAATACAAAACAGTTGAGATTTGAAGATGTAGTAAATCAGTCAAGTCCAAAAAATTGTACTGTGTACTGTGGAGGAATTGCCTCTGGGCTAACAGGTAGGATTTGTTCTGTTGCTTTTGGTGTTACTGAAGCTTTTTGGCCACCAAGATGGTTACTAACTCAAAAATGTTGTATGTTGTAGATCAACTTATGAGACAGACTTTTTCCCCATTTGGACAGATAATGGAAATAAGGGTGTTTCCAGAAAAAGGTTACTCATTTGTCAGGTATGGAGAGAGAAAACCAAACTCTGTTGTTTTGTTCATGTAGTAATGTTTTACCTTTGGGTAGTTTTGCTTGCTTGAGCTTCTGCTGATACATTAAAACCTGTCACCATGTGTTCATGGAAAAATGTGGAACTTCTTTACCTGGAAAGATGAATATGTGTGAAAGCAGATCTTTTTCTCTGGTTATCCTGGATGTATGGATGGATTCACTGTTCTTTAACAAGCAGGTGAAGGTACTATTAAGCATAACATGTGTTTGTTTTTACATCCTTTAGATTTTCAACCCATGAAAGTGCAGCACACGCTATTGTTTCAGTTAATGGAACCACAATTGAAGGACATGTTGTTAAATGTTATTGGGGTAAAGAATCCCCAGATATGACTAAAAACTTCCAACAGGTAACTGCACTTTTACCTTTCCAGTGTATTACAAAAGCAGTCGTGTCTATACCTGTCATACCTTCCCAATTATGATAGCTGAATTTTGTGCTGGAGTTCTTATGAAATTCCGTGTTCTGTCTCAGTTATGTTCCAGTTGTTCATCAAATTGGGCTAGTGATTTTGATGGAATATCTGTTACTGTCTCCTGGATATGATTCAAGATAGGGAGAAACTTTTTGAGGTAATTCTGATTCTTGCTAGTTCACTAACTGCAGACCAGGTGACTATCCATCCAAATATTCTTTGGTGTTTTGAACACACACAGGCATGCTTTTCAGTCGTGCTTTTCATCATAAGTGATGTCTTATTTTGCTGATCTCTTTATTGCTCCTTTTAGCCCTGTGATTGATAGAGCCCAAAATTTTGCCTTCAGCATAAAAGAAATATAATCCATCTCTAGAACCTGTAATACTGTGAATTATTCTCTCTTTAGGTGGATTACAGTCAGTGGGGGCAATGGAGCCAAGTATATGGAAATCCACAGCAATATGGGCAATATATGGCTAACGGGTGGCAAGTACCATCATATGGAATGTATGGCCAAGCATGGAATCAACAGGGTTTTGGAGTAGAGTGAGTAATTGTATTTAATTCTTTTTAAACTGTTCCAAGAATGTTAGATCTGAGTTTCAGATTCAGTTGCTTCAAGGATTGAACAAGGTTTCAAGCCTTAGGTGGACTTAAAGCTTATGTTTAATGATATCCAAATAAAGGGGTGAGTCACTCTTGACTTGTGCTCACCCACAGGCTTTGTGTGTATGGGTGTTTTGAGACTGAAGGCAGCAGAGACCTTCTACAGCAGTTTTGGATGATGGTCTTATCTGATGCCTAAGCATTTTCTCTGACTTGAGGTGGTGAATGCTGGAGAGTCTGAGACAGGGAGCCCAGGTATTGCCTGCAGGGTTCATGGCCCTGGGGAGCAGCAGCTGCCTATGGCCATATTAACTTCTGCAGATTCAGAATTCGGGTGGGCTTTTAATGCTTAATCTCTTGAAGACTTCACAGCAACTTTTTGTTTTAACTGACTTTTAAAATAACTTCTTTGTTTGCGTGATTCTTCATTACCTCTTGCAAACTAAACCTGTTAAGCACTGATAGACTATCCCTGGTATTCATGCCAGTTAGGTTTGGGAATTATTTTGCATTTCTGCATCACTGATGTTGACTTACAGCCACCTGTGTCTGTACGTGCCTTTGGAGGTGGTTCTCCTATGCAGCTAGTACCCAAGGTTTGTGGGGCTTTTCCCTTGCTCTTTGTTCTTAAAAAGCTTATGACATTTTCAAGAATCACATGTTGTAGCACTTAACCTGCATTTTTCATTAAAGAGAAGAAGAAATAGGTCTGTTTTGATGTGAATAGTTCATTCAGTGGTATGAGTGTTCAGTGTAGAGAAGAGAAGGCTCCTGAAGGGGACACCTTAGAGCAGCTCCAGTGCCTAAAGGGGCTCCAGGAAACCTGGAGAGGGGCTTTGGACAAGGGCCTGTAGGGACAGGACAAGGGGAATGGCTTTAACCTGCCAGAGAGGAGACTGAGATGAGCTCTTGGGCAGAAGCTCTTCCCTGTGAGGGTGCTGAGGCGCTGGCACAGGGTGCCCAGAGAAGCTGTGGCTGCCCCATCCCTGGCAGTGTTCAAGGCCAGGTTGGACACAGGGGCTTGGAGCAACCTGCTCTAGTGGAAGGTGTCCCTGCCCTGTGGTGGTGGAAGTTTCCCCTGCCCGGGGCAGGGGTTGGAGCTGGATGATCTTTAATGTCCCTTCCAATGCAAACCAGCCTGGGATTCAATAAATAGGAGTAGAGGAAGTTTGATTTAAGTTCCTTTTTTGGGTCTCTTTTCATGTAAAAAATAGCTTGCATGATGATTTTTTTCTTTTTTCCTTTCCTTTTTTTAACCATCTTGTTTCTTTTTAAGCCAATCTCCATCTGCTGCCTGGATGGGTGGATTTGGTGCTCAGCCTGCCCAGGGACAAGGTGCTCCTGTAATACCTAACCAAGCTGGATATGGTATGGCAAGCTACCAAACACAGTGAGCTGGGACTCTGTTTAAAAGTGTGTATTTCATGATAGGCTGCAGTTTCCAGTGACATTCTGAAGACTGGAATGTAGACAATGAAAAAAAAAGAAAAAAAAAAAAGAAAATATTTATTTTAAAAATGGAAATGTTTGGAACCTTTAGCACAGCTTTGCTTTGGTGAAGGACACAAATGTCTTCTAGTTCTGCCTTTTAAAGTTTTTGTTCATGATGGAGATGAACATGTTTTTCTTTGTGTACAAAAATGAAAAATAAAGTCAATAAAGACAATTCTGACTACAAATTTTGATATAGCAGGAGAAATGGCTGATGGATTTGATCTTTAGGTTACCATTCCATTCTATTTTTTTTTTTCCTTGTGTGTGTTCTGTCTTCAGTGTTTTACATCACTGTGCTTTTTAAGAGAAAGGACGTTGCAAAACACCGAGTTGCTTCTAGTCGAACACGCCTCCTGACAGGAACTGTGGACCAGTCATTCCAACCAAGAAGACAGTATTGATTTTCCCAGTACCTGTGGGCAGAGCTCAGAAAGGATGTGTAGGGCTCAAAGTAATTTTTTTAAAGATATATTTAATTTTTCTACACGCATAAAGAGTCTGATACAAAGAATAGGTCAGCCTAAAGTGAAAACCGGTACTGTCTGAGTAATGTCACATCACTTCCACTGTCCACGTTCAGGCACACGTGAAACCTTTTCAGAGCTGGTTTGCTTATTAAGACACTAGGAATTTGCTTTTGATTTTGAGAAGTAAAAGGTTTTTGCAAGTATGTTGTTTGTACTCAAAGCAGACACTCATACTTGGGCTTTTCCATCAAGTTTGAAGGCTACACATTGTAAATATTTCATAATGACTGTTTCAAAAGCATGCTCAAACATAGAAGTAGCAATGTAATTATTCAAAGTAATACTTAATATACTCTGCTGCTTTAAAGGCAGTAGATTGACAAGAATGTGCAAGACTGACATTTCCAAAGTTGGCTATTATGTAAAGTTACATAAAGAACTATAACAAAGAGCCTTAATTTTAATTTCATAAACCTTTAATGCATCACCTTTTTTGTCATTAGAAATACCAATTTTTTGCTTTACATTATTTGGTATGTAAATACCTTGGTTAACAACCTTGTAAACCTATTTCAAGGTTCTTCTAAGTTGTATAGTATCTTGAGTGTTTTGAAAAAAATCTTGATGTTTTTTAAGTCTAGAAATATTTTGCCCAAGAATTTTTTAACAAGATTGTTAAAAACATCTTATTTTAGAGACTATTCAATGTGCCATTTGGTAAATGGAGATGCAGTTGAACCAGTACACTGAGTTGTGACTTATTTTTAATTCCAGTTTTTTGTCTTTCTGGGTGGTTTGCATGTGATGAACCTGTACAGAGGCTGGGTTGTTTGTGTACTGAGTGTGTAAATGGATAAATCATGAAGCTGTTTAAATGGTATACTTGGGTTCTTTCTGAATTATTTTATGGATACATTGATATAAACTGCCTCAATAAATTTGAAGTTGAAAATGAACGTAAGTTAGATACAAGTACTGTGTCTTACCTGTGACAGCTAGGGGGTGCAGATGTGCCAGCTGTGTACCAGATGCACTGAGGCAGGCGCAGTTCAAGAAACAGCTGTAGGATTTGCAGTGATAGTTCAATGAAGCAAACCTGCATTGTGACAGGAGCAGGATGTGTTGTAAATGAGTGTCTGAGGAGCTGTACGTTTTCTCTTTTCTGTTTCCTACCATGCAGGTGGTAGAATAGCTTTTTGAAATGGAAACTTGCAGTTCTGTTAAACCCAGCCGGGTTGTGCAAATAACTACACTTGATGCTGTAGCAAATCACATGAGGTTTGGTTTTTATTCCCTCCTCTTTTACTTGACATGCTAAATAGTACCTTGACTTTTACTTCAGGTTGAAAGTGACATACGTGGAAAGAGTAATTTAGTCAGTTGGCTCAGCTGTACCCAGAGATACATGTAACTCTGGGCATCTAATGCATGCAATAATGACTGAAGTTAGTGTGGAACCAGAAGTGCTTGTGATGACAGAATTGGCCCTTTATCTCTGTTTCTCCTTTATGGTATCTGTAGTGGTTTTCTGCCGAAGTTAGGAATCTCGCCTTTGGGTTTCCTATGGATTTTGTATATATGTGTATATCTGCGCGAGGATCGGCCTATACATAGTAATTTGGGGGAAAAAAATCACAAGTAAATCTGCAGTTTTGTTACATTTATCAGATTTAAAAAGAAAGCCCAAGTCAGCAGATATATGAACTGCAAGTTACTGTAGGGTTTCTTTGCCTTCACTTGAAATCTGAGGTTTCTACATAATTCTAAGTGTTCTGTGCTCGTATGTAAGCAGTGTGTTCTTTAGGCACTACTGAAGATCTAGATGATGCAAGTACCTTACCATGTAAATGCCCATATAAATGGATGTAAGATTAAGGCAGTGATCTTTCAGGTCTCAATGCGTAGATCACCTTAAATCCAATTATGTAATATGCCTGCTGTAGAGCTTGGGCTGTACCCGACCTGTATTTCAGGATGAAAGATAGTATCTACTTCCTCATTGAAGTCTTTTGTCATTGATTTTTATACAGCTTTTCTTTCATGGTGGTATTTCTTCGCAGACTACTCAAGATACGGGAGTCTCCAGTGTCCTTTAATGTTTCTCTAGCACTGCGAGGGAGAGTTGTAATTTGGATTGCTGCTCAGTAGCGTTCAGAAATGCATCAGTGACAGTGTTTCTGGCACCAAAGAGCCTCTTGCACCACACTGCTTTCACGAGTGACTGTTACACCACTGGCATTTCTTTAACTACAGAAATCAACCACTACCGACCCCCTTATCACTGCAAGGCGCTGGATTTCCAAACGTATCCATTTCTCATGGTTTAAGTTGATGCGTACAACCTGAAGCAAGGTTGGAATCTGCACTTGCAGAAAATGTTCAATAAAAGTGAAACATGATAAAGGGCTTCTCCTGTATTGTCATCTGTCAAAAAGCATTGTCCCTCCTTGCTGTAAACCTGACAACAGGCAGACAAGGATGAACTTGTAAACTATGCACTTGCGCTCGGGTAAAAGATGTTTGATTTAAAGCTTTTCCTACAAAATCAGTTTGTATGTTTCAGAGTTGCAGGAGTAAGGCTGTAAATCGAAGGTTACATGTAGCATTTCATCAGTCCTGCCTCCTTGTGTATATTTGTTAACAGTTTTCAGACAGACTCTTCCTGCAGAACCTTCCTCCTTACTAAGATCACTTCATGCCATAGCTATTCACTGTAGCACAACCATTCCCTACATTTCACTCGCCTAAAAAGGCTCACAGTGAGTTAAGGCTTAGTTTTGCAGAAAACTAGTGCTTTGTTTTTCTTGTGTTTGTACACAAGGAAGCAGACTTGAACTGTATGGACATGATTAAGTGTCTGATACTACTTACCTATCTGACTGTTTTTGAACAAGGGCACAAGTCTTTGTTTTCAATCATGTGGAAACTGTTTCCTGGTCAGCAATAAAAGATTTTGTTGCACTGTTCTTACATTGCAAGGTACAGGCAATCTTTTATTCAGTATACTGCAGAAAAAGGGGATGGGGTTTGTAAAGAACTATCTTGTTCCAGCTGGAATCTTCATATATAGATGTGGTTTGGGATCTGGTTTGTTCCTGTAATAGCAAAAGGAAGTTGTTGTTCTTTTGAAACTGAGAATTAATTTGTTCTGATCATATGTTCTGTTCAACATTGGTAGATTTAAGGGTTTCACTGTGTAATAATATTTCTGTTGATAAAAAGGCAACTGCAAGGCAATAGCTGCTGGGAAGGTCTTTGTTGTGTTTCATTTCAACCAACTTTTGTGAACCCAGTTGACTTAAAAAATAATTAAAAGAGATTTGTGGGGTATTTTTCTGTATCACGTGGATAAAGTCCCTCCTTCCCTTTCACTTCAAGGAAAATGGTGAAGTGTTTATTGAATATTTTACTTTAAAAAGAAACAGGACATTATGTTGAGGAGAGAACAGTGGTTCTGTCATCTTTGACATCTTTACACTGACACGTAAAGGGCAATGACTCAAAGTTAATTTGACATCTAATGATTATTTGAATACAAGTTATTTTTGCTTAACTATACTGCCAGTCGTTCTTTGATTAAAGCTGATCTGAATCTTCCTGGTTAAAGTATTGCTGCTATGTTCTGGGAAGAAACATTGCTTTACCTTGTATTGTAGTTATTCAAGCTGTCAGTAAGAGACAGGATTTGTTTTGTTTAGAAGAAAAAAGAACTTAATGGAGTTGTGTTGGGGAATCCAGTGTAAACTGACTGTGCTGTAGTGATAGGGGATAGCATTTGAGTGTTTCCCTTGGAAAGCAAGGGATCAGTCGCTCTTACTTGCATGAACCCAGGTTCTCACTGATCCCAGGTACTCAGCAGCTGTCTTTCCCAGCTGCTCGCAAGGAAGGGAGGAAAAGGAACGGGAAAAAGAGGGAGACTGAGTAGTACACATGCACCAGCAGCATCAATGCCAAGCTGTATTGTTAAACATGTACAAATCACATCAGGCTTATGCAGGTACATTGGCAGTAGCCAGAGCGTTGTGACTGCTCAGATACAAACTTGCTTTATCACCTCACTTAAAATAATGTTGCTTTAAAATGACAGAAAACACGTAACCTCTGGCCATTTTCTCTTTGGTTCCTGAGCAAATAACGCATGTTAAACAGCCAGGCTGGAATACTGAAGTTGACTAACCAAGTAAAGCAAACTTAAAAGAGCAAATTGCATCAATAATCTGAATTTGTAGACCTCTGTTTAATGTAGACCTCTTAGCGTGGCATTCTCTTGTTTGCCTGTATTGACCCTTTTGTTTGTGTAGCTGAAATAGTTTGAGATATGCACAGCTGCTTGTTGAATGTCTTCCCAGTCTTTAAATGTATCATTTCTGGAGCAGGGGTGGGTAGGAATTGAATAAGAATCACAAGCCTGCCACATGAAACAGTGAGTAACACGTTTCCTAGATGGGAATTGACTTACTGGAGCCAACCCTGTAGAAGTTTAAATACCACAGGTGATGGTGAAAAGCTGCTCTCCTCCATTTGAGTAGCTCCTTCTTTGACCTTAATAAATGGAGAATTACCACTGGGGTGCTGCTATGTGAAAAATACTGTGTGGTTTCTTTGGTCCTTCCACTGAAGGAGATCTTTTTATTCCACGGGTGGTTTCCTTTAATGTTGGGTTATGAAGTGTGATGGGAAAGACCAATTGATACAAGTATTGCTTAGTTCAAGTCTTC